AAATTTAAATAATAATATTATAAACCAATAGATTACATTGCAGGATTTTTTTGAAAAAAAACACTTGACATTCAGAGAATGATGAAACAACGTGCTCACCTCGAGTGCTGCTAGCATATCTCCCAAGTCAAACTCGATTGGCATCTTTGTTCGTTTGTTCTCTAACATGCCATGACTGAGTTCAAACTTCAAATACCTTTTTAAACTTGTTAACTCACAGGGACTATGTACTGCAATTAATTTTAATCCTTATTCTGACAGCCCTGTGTACTTTTACATTGATTCGACCAGATAAGGGTTAATTTTGCTCGTCATCAAATTTAAATAATAATATTATAAACCAATAGATTACATTGCAGGATTTTTTTGAAAAAAAACACTTGACATTCAGAGAATGATGAAACAACGTGCTCACCTCGAGTGCTGCTAGCATATCTCCCAAGTCAAACTCGATTGGCATCTTTGTTCGTTTGTTCGGTTTCTTCAAATTCTCCTGTAGCTGTTTTTGTTCCTCGGTAATTTCCGAATATTCTTGCGCCGCTGCTTGCGTAGCAATTAAAGCTTTCTTCCGTCGTTTACGGGCATTCTTTCCTTCTTTGACCGTACTCACGGCGACCTCCGGCGACATTAGTTCTTCTGGTAACATTTTCATTTTCACCTCAGTGTCTTCATAGTTATCCTAAAATACAAACATGAAATATTACAAGCTTATTATGGGCATAATGAAATAAGAATATCGAAAGTAATATTGCAAAGTATATTACATGTATGAGAATATCATCAAGTGATATCGATAATATCGCAAAATACATTACGAAAATATTGCATAGTATATTATGAAAATATCGCAAAGTATATTGCGAGAATATCACAAAGTATATTAAGAGAATATCGCAATGTTTATTACGAGAATATCACAAAGTATATTAAGAGAATATCGCAATGTGTATTACGAGAATATCACAAAGTAATATTACAAGAATATCGCAATGTGTATTACGAGAATATCGCAATGTGTATTACGAGAATATCACAAAGTATATTAAGAGAATATCGCAATGTGTATTACGAGAATGCAGCAAAGTATATTAAGAGAATATCGCAATGTGTATTACGAGAATATCACAAAGTAATATTACAAGAATATCGCAATGTGTATTACGAGAATATCACAAAGTATATTAAGAGAATATCACAAAGTATATTAAGAAAATATCGCGATGTGTATTACAAGAATATCACAAAGTATATTAAGAGAATATCGCAATGTGTATTACGAGAATATTACAAGAATATCGCAATGTGTATTACGAGAATATCACAAAGTATATTAGGAGAATATCGCAATGTGTATTACGAGAATATCACAAAGTAATATTACAAGAATACTTTGACATGTTATTTTTGAGACTAGTAAGTATCAAGAACACGGCAGGAATAAAACAGAGTTGTTTTTCCACCCTGCAGTTCATTGCGTATTACTGTAAAATCTGTATTAGAAGCTCCAGCTTCTATTAAAATGGTAAAATGCAACAGAGGGGATGTGGCTTCTATTAGAGCATCTACACATATGAGAAATGATGAATTTTTGGTTCTCAATTATTCAAAAAGAGTGTGTGCGTCTTCTATTAGAGATGCGGCTTCTAATACAGATTTTACAGTATATTATAGCATTGTCAATACCAGCAAATTTTATGACATCATTGCCAGATTATTCGCGATATTGTATTGCATTATTGAGAATCAAGGCCCCGTACCATGCATAGGAATAGAATGATGAGATCGGAAAACAAATAAAGAGACTGGCATTATAATAATAAGAACAAGCGCTCTTGCTACCCATTCAGAAAATGTATTAACCTTTTCACCACCAATTCACAAAACAGTATTGATTATACTCTGCACTTTCCTTCAGAGGATTGGAACAAAAAAAAAATGTCAGTAAAACCTGATGAAAATTGCCTGTTTGCTCAAAAATTTGGTTCATTTCCAGAAATACTGAAGATTATAGTAAACGAGCAACCTCTTGGTTGAGACAGTTACGCTGATAGCTGTTCATTTAAAGAATTTAAGATATCATCACAAAATGAACAAATCTGAGCGAGGTCTACCAGTTGTACCTATATAATACATATATCAAAGCAATCACACTTTTTTCCAAAAATGAAAAAAATATTCACCAAAAATAGAAAATTAAAGATATCATGAAGTGAACAAATCTGAGAGTGGTCCACATGTAGTACCTATATATGTAATATCAAAGCAATTGGACTTGCGATTTTTCACAAATATATTACTTTTTACCAAAAATGACAAAATTAATCACCAAAAATAGAGAATTAAAGATATCACGTAATAAACAAATCTAAGAGAAGTATACCCAAGGTACATACACCAAGTATCGAAGCAATCAGGCTTGTAGTTTTTAAAAACAATTCGACAATGTAAAAAATTAACACGAACAACAGACGTCAACGGACAATCACTTACACGATATCGGTAAGCCCCACTCGCTAAGCTAAGGAGAGCTAAAAAAATGCAGACAAATTTGGGCGAGAAAGTCTGGTGATGAAAAAAAATTGGTTAAATGGTTTGTAGATTGACTCCTATATTATAAGCTGGAACTTCATGACAAATAGCGACTTGATGACCAGTTTGGCTGAAAGTTTGTTCAAAGCTAAAGTTAGAGTAGTCCTGAAAAGTTAAAGCGCAATAGTTGTCGCGCTTGTGTTGATAAACATTGATTTTCCCACAATCCAATGCGCTATTCTAATGGAAATCACAAGCATGAGGTTTGACCTTGGCACAACTTGCACTGATTGCCGCTGGTGACTCCATCGATGCCTTCCAATCACATGAAAATTCAGTTCGTTGATCTGCACAACAGTCAAAGTCATCATCTTTGTTTATATGAGACCCATATATCTCACACATGCGCAGCGCAACGACTACCGCGCTTTAAATGCATCAATACTTACCGATTTATCTACATATGATCCATGAACTGTCATCGTTGTTGGCGTCGTCGTCCGTTGTTGTACCACAGCACTGTAACTCATTACTGTTGGCCTGTCTTCTGATCTATTTGGCACGACGGACGGCAAATCTTGATACTCTGTATCATCCTCAAACTTCAACGCTCCAAACTCTTCCGCACTTGGCACCGGCGTAGTTAGTAGATCTGATCTCGCCAGAGAGTTAATGGAAGAGTTCGCAGACCTCCCGCTATCTCGCGATTTATTCCTCTTTCTCTGTCGTTTCTTCTTCTTAATTGGCTGAGCAACTAATTCAGTGGCAGTAGTGCCGCTTACAGTACTATTAATCGTATCCGCTGGTACTTCCTTCCTGTCATGAGGTTCACTTTGTAAATTTCTATTCGTAGAGTTTATCACCTTGCTTTTATTCCATTGCGTTTTCATAGCTTGTTGCGCGACATGAGTCCTATCAATTGCACTTGGAGTTACAACTGAAGCGACGGGTACCTTCGCTTTTGCAACAGCTCCTGCATAGCTCATAACAGGCGGTCCGGCCATGGATGCCATTGTTGCCTGAGTATTCGACGGTGTTGTCGTGTTCACATTACTAGTTGAAGGTACACGCGTGTTTGACGCCGGTGTGTTTGACGATGGCGTACCCGTCGCTGCGTCCTGCGTGACAATACCCTGTGTACTGCTTCCAACGCTAAGATTCCTACAGTGCTTAGGACTGCTATAACCACTATCACTGTCTACTTGAGCCTCCTCAAATTCAGAATCAGTCGACGAAATATTTGTCCGTCTCGTTTGTTGACTCTGCGTTTTCCTACGGTTCTTAGCTTTCGCTTTCCTAAATGAGCTTGGTCGTTCCAACAGTGACAAATTTGCGAGATCGTCTGGAAAATCTGCAATAAAATCATTGAACGAAAAAAAAAAAAATTGTTAAAAACAATGCAAAATACATGCAGCAATAATCATTTTATTTATAATTTGTTTAAGTCTATGATCGGCTAATCAGCATTGATACATTCCAAGTGTAACAGAACTTGTCTATTTGCAAAAACTTATTATCATTTTTATCAATAATTTCAACCTTTTCTTAGTAGTATTTACTAATATAAGACATATTTAGACAGAATATTCTGCACAATATAAATATGTAGCAGTTTTCAATGCAAGTTAAGGTGGATCTAAGCCAGATTAACCTTCACACCACTAGACTTTTTCGCCTGAATTTGTCAGCACTTTTTTTTCTAATATTTTTCAATATTTCTGGAAAAGAACCTTTAGAAGACAAAATTTGAGTAAATTTTACTCAAAAAATTTGGCTATTTTTGTCCCAATCGTCTGAAGGAAAGTGCAGACTATAAACAGGACTATTTTGTGAATTTCTAAGCCAAATTGACTTTCACATAGACCCGACTTTTTGCCTGAATTTTTTTGCATTTTTTCAATGTTTTTCAATATTTCTGGAAATGAACCTTTAGAAGGCAAAAGACAAAAGTCAAATATCAGTTTTTTACTCAAAAAATTTAACTATTTTTGCCCCAATCGTCTGAAGGAAAGTGCAGACTATAAAACAGGACTATTTTGTGAATTTCTGATGAAAAGGTCAAAAATAGCTCAATGTTAAGTTACGCTCGGACCATACTGTAAATAAACTATGACATCATACAGGTAAGTACACTCAACTTGTGGAACACTGAGGCTCACAAATAGCCTCTCGCCCTTTTTTTCACAAGTGCTCAGTAACGCAGCAACCAAGAAAACTTGAAATTAGTCTATTGTTTACCTGTTTGTTGACAAGCATCAACATAGATAACTGTTTTTATTTTCCTTTTAATATCCTTGCTGGGTATAATGACTTTCTCACCGCTGGATGTCTTTTGTACGCCAACACTCTTCGTGTCTGCCGAACCACCTTTGTTTCGTCTACGGTTATTCTATAAGGAAAGTGAAAGACTATTAATTTTGTTTGTTATTACTCAACAGGTTTTCACTCGTCAGTTGTACTCGTAGGATCATCCAGCAAACCGGTCACTGGTAGCATAGTGGTTGTCGCATCAGACTCATGATCGATAGACCCAAGTTCAAATCCTACCTTAGGCTGAACATCAAAAGGGTCGACCCCTACCCTGGGTGTGTGTGCCACAGACTCAATGGGAAGGCCAATTTCACTGGCCGAGACTCATTCACTAATGAATGCGACTATTGGGGAAACCTCGGTTAAGGTCCGCAG